TGGTTGGTCCTCCCTCTTCTTGCCTCCTATTTCCTGGTTGGTCCCTCCCTCTTCCTGCCTCCTACTTCCTGGTTGGTCCTCCCTCTTCCTGCCTCCTATTTCCTGGTTGGTCCCTCTGTTTTCCTGCCTCCTACTTCCTGGTTGGTCTCTTCCTGCCTCCTACTTCCAGTCTGGATGTGAACATTGTGGTCTATGGTTGGTTTTTCTTGGAAAACGAGCCATCATTCTGTTCGGCATCATTCTGTTCAGGCTTCAACCAATCAGAGTGCAGCGGCGAGCTCTACTTCACCTGCAGAAACAGGAAGTGCATCCCTGCCAGTCTGGTGTGTGACGACAAGGGCATCGACAACTGTGGGGACGGGAGCGACCTGGAAGAAAACCTAACGGCGGGCTGCAAAGGTCCATTCAGGAAGTTTAACATATTAAAAAACATACATCTCTGTTCCCATTAGGAAGGGCAAGTTTATTTTACCGCACATTTCAGCTACAAGACAATTAGAAGTGCTTCACATAGAATTTAAAAGCAGAAAAACAAGAAAAGAAAATGAATAAACAATTAGAACAATTAGGTAGCTAAAAAGTTAAGGATTCAGATAAAATACATTCAATTTCCATATTGACAGAACCATTTTCAGCCTGGATTTGAACTAGGCTTTTCCCGATCCGATATCTGGATCGGATCGGCCGCAGATATTTTCTTTAGTTAAATTCAGACATGATAAATGACTAGGTAACACCACAGACTTGTCACCACTATCTCCTGAAACCAGAACATATTTGAGCTGTTTTGAAACTTACCCTGTGTTGCAGATCTGAGAAGTAAAAAATAAATGAAATTATGCAAATGGAGGTTGACCGGAGCTAAATAAACATGAGATTTGTTTGATTTTTTTTACATCAAGTCGAGGTAGATGTGTGAATAAATGCCCTCGTGGTGTTCTTTAGCTTTTTTAAAGCTGCCCAAACGTTTTATGGTTGCTGGTTGTATCTTTAACTCATTGACTGGCAGCCATTTTCAGAACAGAGTCCCATACTGCCAAAGTTTTTGGAGCATTTTGACTGATTTTTCAAAAGCCACAGAATAGTTTGTGCTATGACTATGTAAACACCGAACACACCAAAAGAAAGAGTAGACTCTCTTCTTTCATCAGGAAAAAAAATGTGTTTCTACCTTATTCCGTTCTTCCTGGACTTGCGTCTCACCGGCGACATGTTCTCTCATAGAACCGTTCCCTTTTTCTTATTTGCCTACAGTCTATGCTCATCTCCCATCAAAAGTGGCAC